GTGCCATAATAGTTGAGCGCGCTGATGAGTGGCACGGTGCCACCGCTGCTGCCGCCGCTTGACGGCGAGGTRGGATAGTGAACGGCAGTGTGTGTGCGTGTATGAGCGCCCGTTAACATGTGCTGACGTTGCTGCTGGTATGTTGTGTTTGTGTTGTTGCTGTTATTGCCGATATTTGTACGTTTCGTGCTGAGTAGATAATCTGTTTGTAATGCGGCACTGTTGTTCGCTGCTGGTGATGGCAACTCAACACCATTTGTCGTTTGTGCGCTGCGCAGAGCAATGAACGTGTCGAAATTATCGGAAGATGATGCGTTGGAGGCTGTCGAATTGCGGCGCATATGGTAGGCGCTGGTGGCATGTGCTGGTTGATGCTGCTGCGGCTTAATGGTCTTGGCATGCGTTGTTGCGGTTGGTAGCAACAGCTGCTGCTGTTGTTGTTTATTGTACACCATAGGTTGTGAAACGGACGAATTTGACGATGAGGATGTCGACAGCGATAGCGACGAGCTGACAGAGTTTGTTGGTTTTTGTTGATGGTGCTGTTGTTGTTGCTGTGGCTGATAATGTCGACGCATATTGTCCAACATGTAGCGATTATTTGCATCGCCACACGCTGTCGCTATGCTTTGTGCCGRATTTCCGCCATATTTCTTGCCATCAATGTACAATGCGCTGGCTGCTGTTGTTGGCGCCTGCGGTTGTGCTTGCAAATATATGTTCGCCTTTATGCCGCTGCCACTTTGTTGTTGTAATTTGGTGGGCGTTTTAATGCCTGYGGCGTGTGTGGCATCTTGTGTGTCATCTTCGTTGTAAAAATGTCGCGCATTCGTAGCTTTCGTCCCATAAGCGTCATACGCAGCGGAGGCATATAGCAAATTTTTCGTTGATTTTGGCGTYTCGTACAAATTGGACGGACCACTTAACTGCCGTGCATTTTCATGTTCGACCGTGGCCAATGACATCGCATCCCTTCCCTCAAATGCTAGCGTTTTTTCTTGTTCTTGCTTGTTTTTGTGCATTGAATTGACACCCAATGGCTTAGTGGATGCAACGTATGTATTCATCATTGGCAATTTCACTTTMTCTGCATCCATGCCACAAGCGCTTTCATCCCGTGCTAGCGCTGCCGTGTTCATATCAACATTAAAGTTGTAGAATTGGCGCGCATAGGAAGCGGCACAATTAGCGCTTGCTGTAGCATCTTGATGCGTTTTATTACTTTGCTGCTCGCCGAGTAATAGTAGCGCGCTATGACGCAATTCGAAAGCGCTGCCGCCAGCTTTCCTGCCGCGTGCAGCACGTCGGAATGCGCTGCGCGCCACATAACCACTCTCCGCACCGTCGTCCTCATTTTCAATGCCAATTGTACCGACGCGCTCATCATCATAGCCAATGGAGTTCGCTTTACGCGTGTGTTGGCCACTCTTCGCACGATARAAATGCTCTAAATAGCTTTCGTAATGTAGATCTGTGTCGTCACGTCGCTCATTCATGTCAGCCGCATCAATGCCAAATACACCGTTACCATCTACATCTAGAGAAACGTCTTTTTGTTGTTGCTGTTGTTGTAGATGTTGATTAAGCGAACGATAGAAATGGCTTTCGGCTAGATTTTCATTATACGCCAACAAGAAATTGCGTTCGTCTGCGACACTCAACTGTTCTTGCTGCAGTCGTTGCCAATCGTTAGTGGCGCCAGTGCCGCGTAGCTGCTTCATTGTAGCCACCTGACTGTCGCGTTGTAGTTGTAATTGAAAATCTTTGTCTTCAGCTTCGTTAACAAGTATACGTATGCTATCATCCAAATTAGCGGCACGTCTGTAATCAACCAGCAGCGTGGCATCGCCACCAGCGCTCAAGCTCACGAAATCGCTGTCAGTCAAATCATCTTCGTTGGAAGTGTTGAAGAAAGCAGTGGCCGCCTCACTGCTTCTATGCTCGTCTGCGGATAATAAGAGATTGGCGGTATCTCCTACAGTGAGTTTGTTGTAAAAGTATTGTGACATTTTCGGATGCTCGTAGCGCAGACCCGCACTGCTGCTCGTATCGTCTGCCAGTGAGGGCGTAATGGCCTCTGTTGCGCCAATCGAGCTCACCGGTGTTGCCTGTTCTACAGCCAATGTGGGCCCACTAAATACGGAAGCATAATCCGAACTGCTAAGCGAGTCGGAGCAACCGCGTTTAGATATCGGCAGCGTGCCAAGGTTCTCATAGTTGTTGCTGTTGGGCGCAGTTGGCAGCGCTTTTTGATCTGTGCTTGTTAATGATTTTTGTGCCGCCGAGAGACTGCGTTTATGTGTACGACCGCGCAGTGGCTTTGCGTAGCGCGGTGAGCTACATTTTTCACTTTCCTTTATTTCATTGTTTTCTATTTGTCGTGGACGCTGCAGGCGCCCTGCCGCAACGCGTCCCACTGAGTGCGCCGACTGTTTTGTGTTGCGTAGATTTTGCTCGAAATTCTCCTCCAAGTAAGCATCAAGATAATGTAAATTCTTAGAGAGATCAATTTCAGACTTGTAGCTCTTATAGATGGTGGCCTGTTGTCGGCCACTAGCGTTGGCGTTAAGCGCAGCACATTTCGATTCATAACTGCTGATACGCGCGCGATCGCCTATAAAGCGAAAGCTGTCATCCTTGGCCAACGTGCTGAAGCCACTGCCGTTACCTGCATACTGTTGATGTGCCGCGCTAGCTTGCTTGAAGTTACGACATTTGTCGCGCAACTTTTGTAGTCCTTGCCGCGTTTTCGCCTGCAGTCGTTCGAAGTAAGAATGCTTRCCGTTGCTAGCGGCGCTGCCCGGACTCACTAACGCGATGTTGAGGCGCGCACTGGCGCTGACATCTAACGCGCTGTGTATGCTTTGTGTGCGATTCGGATAGGTGATTTTGAGTTTCTTCATTTGTGGCAGATCGCTGATAGTATCGGCGCCGTTTGTCGTAATTGCGTATGTCGTCGCTGGCAAGCCGCTCGCCGATTTGTGCATTTTACGTAGCGACAAATTCTTAAAGACATGTTTCGGTTTGAGTTTGTGTGATTTAGCAGTTGTACTTAGTGTCATTGCGGCATTGGTGCTGACAAAATCTTGGCGCTCGAAGCGGCTAACCGGTATGCCGTTCAAGTAATGTTGACGCGCATTTTCGTTTGTTTGTTGTTTCATATTACCATCCAGTGCGCGCTTGGCGTTTGAAATGCCACTACCACCATCGAATAGACGGCGTATAGAACGCTCGGAGCGCTGTCGTTTTTTCAATGGCAGCTGTTGTTGCGAAGCGCTTGAAGCAGCGCGTAGGCGCGCGTTTGCATTCAAATGCTCCGCTTGTATATCGTCATCCAGAAAAATGGAGAAAGGATTCGTTATAACAGTACTGCTATCCGTTTCGTGTGTGCTAACTGCAAATGCGCGTTCCGCAGCGACGGCGTCCAACAAATAACCGCGCGCATTGTATTCGGCTTCCTCAGCGCTGCTATCGCTTAGCAATTCTTCGAGACTATTTAATGATTTTGGCTTACTTACTATACTAGTTTGCTTATTATCTAATACAACTACAACACTACCATCAGCATCTGACAATTGTACTGCGGTATCACCACACTTGCGCGGTGCATAACAGTGCCATACACTAGCGCGCGCATCCCTCATACCTAACAATGCGTCACTTGTACATTCTAATAGTATGCGCGCATGACGCTCTGGCGCCAAAGCTGCATCGTTGTCTAACTGTTCGTCAACATCAGCAATTAGGTGCCAAGTGAATATATCTGTGTCGGAATGCACTTTGCGTAAGCGCCGTTCAACTACACTACACGCCAGTGCGCGCATCTCTTTCAAAGAGTTCGATTGCTTGCGAAAGCAATAGAAGGGATTATTTATGCTCAATCTTTGCAGTAGTTCTTCGCTACCGGCGAGTAGCGCCTCGTAATCACTAACTTGCTCGGCGCGCCCAAGCATTTTCAGACTTTGCGGCAAACTGTCAAGCAGCGCTTTGGTGCGCAAGCGGCGCTGACTGTGCCGCTGTCTTTGGTTGGCGCGCATGCTATTCAATTTGTCGTCGGTGATGGCAACCGCATGCGGTTCAGTTATATTCAATATTAGTTGCTTACCGTTAATGCTCATACCGCTTGTTGCGTCGGTATTGTGTAAAAAATTTAAGGAAGCATTACCGCTATTTGTAGCACCGCCGCTACTTTGATTGCCACTGCTGTTCTTAGTATTTTTGCTAATTATTGTATGAGTTTCTGTGCCGCACTTGTCAATTTCGGCAGCGCTTGTCGCTGYTATTGTTTGTGCTGTTGTCGTTTTGGTTGTTATTACAGTCTGTTGTTGTTGTTTCGTGTTTGCATTTGCGCCGGTAGTGTTAGTATTAGAAGTACTGTCAAGTCTCAAGTCTTGCTCTCGGTCCGTTTCATTTTTCTTTAGTTTTTGTTTTTCGTTCGTAACTGTGTCACAGATGTCAACACTGTCGCTATGATTAGCGCTAGTGCGCTCAATCGCRTTCGCCGTTGCGCGCTCGTTCGCTGCGTCGGCGTTAGCTGCGTCTGCGTTCGCTTTTTCGTCTTTGTCATTTGCTGTTGCGTTTTCTGTTATTAAYAATTTCTTTGTTGTTGTGTTTAAATGCAACGTATTTTGTTTGCTGCTGCTGCTACTGCAACTGCTGCTGTTGTTGTTGTTGTTCTTGGTTGTGTTATCGCTACTATTGCTATTATTACCGTTATTGTTAGGTTTGTTATTTTGCAAATCGTTGTTGCTACTACAACTAACACTAACTAAATTATTTGTCATGATTGTAGTTGTGGTTGTTGTTGTTGTTGTTGTTGCAGTTGCTATTGTAGTAGTAGTGACATTCGTATTACTATCAATATTATTGCTGTTATTATTCGTATTATTATTGTTATTGTTAAATGTATGATTCATATTATTGATATTATTTTTATTATTATCATTAATTGCCTGCTAGACCCTAGTTGGCGGCTGTAAAATCATTGCAGCCATGCGTACCTTCATTGCCTCCGGTGATCCGTGTGCGGTTTGTAAATGATGATGCTGTTGCTGTTGTTGTTGTTGTTGCGCTTGTTGGTGATGCTGTTGCAACTGTTGTTGCTGTTGCTGTTGCTGATGATGATGAAAACCAGCCGGCGTGGTATATATCGAATCACCCTGTGGACCACTGGTACTGTCCGAACGTGATTTCAAATCGGCTTTCTCACTAGTTAGAGGAGTTAGGTGAAGAGCGAAAAAGATAAATAAAAATAATATTATAAAATTGATTATTGATTGAAAATTTATTTTCTTATCTTTGATAGCAACATAGCTTAGGATCAATAAATATTATAAAAAAGTTGATGGTGCCGAAAAATAGTTTCGATTGGGTTCTGATAATGATATATGTATGTATGTTAATATCTTCCCATCCCATATAAATTCACTATTATTTGCTAGAAAAGAGGTAGAGGTATCTCTCGCAAAAATTAACGCGCTCTCGAAAAATAATGTCTAAGGTCAAGAGTAGTCACAAATTACTTTCAGTAAATTTTTAAAGAAGGGTCTATAGAATACATTCAGCTTGTTTAAGGGTTTACATGGGTTGACGGGTTTCTAAAAATCGWTTGTCTTATTAAATTCTATAACACCTCTGGAATATTGTCCAGCATTTTCAAGTTGATTCAAGCAATAGTTTCGGAGATACAGCCGTGAAAATTTGTGCGCTCGAGGCCACCTAGGCTAAACGCGTTTTTTTCGAAACTGTGGCTTTGAAGTCGGTAGGCAAGATTTCTCGAGAACTGTTCAAATTGATGAAATTTTACACAGATGATTCAGATACAATTCTTAAAGACTTACACGAAGGATTTTTGTGAATTAAAACTAATTGAAAAAAAAAAACAATCGCGAAATTTTCACTGAAATTTTATATTATTTGGAAAAATGTCACCAGTTTCAGTTTTTTTTTCCTTTTTTCTTTGTTTCAGTTTTTTTCCTTCGTTCAAGTTCTAAGCTAGGATTTTAAGTAAAACATGTATTGTTTTATGTTAGATGATTTTGCACGGAGTTATCCTGCCAACGCAGGCACATTTCTTTCCGAGTGGTCACCAGAAATGGCGTCGCAATGGCCGAGTTTGAAATATTTTTGTTCCWAAAATTTCAGGATTTCTTTGTTAATAGTGTATGTTTGTAACAATAAAAAATTCGAATACAAAATTTGTTTATATGAGAAAAAATTATTTAAAAAGGCCGTTTTTATCCGAGGAAACCTATGTARCCCCTTAAGTTATTTCGCAGAGTTTATCCTGGCATCAAAGGCAGCGATAAATGTTTTTTTGCGATAAACGAAAACTGCYAAAAATCGGCTATCAGAAGCGTTTTGAGCTTACTAGATACAATATCAATTCTTGCACTTCGCTGGGTACGTCGAACCTTTACACGTTCTTTCAAGTTCAGTTTGGCAAAAGCTGAGCACTTGAGCAGAAAGTGCCTAGATGATTCTCCATCGTCTTTCTTCATACATTTTTGACAAGTAGCACCGCGTGTCAATCTATTGAACAGTCTAGTTTAAATACCTACAATGCGTTGAGGTTCATTTCGCAGAGCAAGTATTACTGGGATCCTCTTAAAAATTCTCGTCCTGATCCATTAACACTAGCCGAGCTCACGGGAGGTTTATGGGTTCAGTGCTTGAATGCAAGATGATAACGCATTACCAACTAACTTCTGATCGGATGAAATATACCCTAACTGTAATGTTTTGCGAGAACACTTTTTTATGCAAATATTTTCTAAAGCTTCTGTCCGCACGGAYGTAAGACATTTCCGGAAAGTTCAGTGCCCTGAATATTTCAAGCTAGTAGCCTTTTCGCACAGGAGCTATTGATCATTTAATCGATCTTTCCTGGTTTATTTCGCTAATTTAGATCTATTTATCATAAAAACAACAAAATATTATTTTACTAATTTAAATCAAGTTACAATTTCAATGTAATTCTGGGGGTTGTTGTCCACACTGTCTGCTTCATTGTACTTAACTTTGCGGGTTATTGTCTAGGCTGTAAAATTGGTTGTGTGCATTGATGAAAAAGCAATGATCAATTTTAAGTATTAGAAAATTGAAGAAGACAAGAAGTGTAACTGCTGAGCGAAAGGCTAAAACTGGTTTCTAAAATCTAAAATAAATTAATATGGCTATGCGAGAAAGCTATAGGGCTTCAATTGTATGAACTATGCCAGGTTAAAAAATTTCTACTAATAAGCGAAGTATCCTATAATAGTATATCAAATAAAAACTCAGATTTTAATTGATACCAACAATAATTTCAAATAGAACATTTTGGAGTTCTGCGATTACTTATATGATAGAAAACCTTATGCTATGAATGCAATCTTCTCAATACTCGATGTGAGAATATTTATCAAAAACCCTTCCAAGAGACGAACAAGTCACTAAACTGTCTCGTAGTTAACTTTTGACGCCAATAAATATTTTCAGAAAGGAAATCGTGAACTGAAATCAAATGCTTATATTCAGCTCTAAAGCGGTGACATTGAATAAAAAATTCTGTTTCTTCCCAGAAATATGCTTCAATCAACGATTCAATGACTTATCTAACAACTCTGGTACGCTTTCTCCAGCAGAGGTGGAAGCTCGAACACGGTAATGAGGGGACGTAATTTAATCAGCAAAATATTTTCAAAACAATAGCAACGAAGCCACCCACAAACTAACACAAATTATGTGAATTTGTGCTAGTGTGGCAAGTGCAGGGTAGAAATATGTCAACGCTATATGAACTTAACAAGCAACATTGTTAGAATGAATTGAATAGTAAATGAGCTCGTGGCTATGGCGAGAATGACAAACGTGTCGACAGTGTTAAAATTTATTCCTCACACACATACATACATACTACATATTTACTATATGTATGTGTATATATGTGCGGACATTTCTAAAAGTTTATGCGTGTAGTTGTGTTGGTTTAGCAAAAACAAAATCAATATCGATTGCTGCAAGTAAATTGTTGTTGTTATTAGGTAGTCAACGGTGGTTTTGGTAATAACAATTTTCGTAATGATTGCGTTGCGGTTGAAATTCCAATGAGTTTTTGGCAAAACACCGTGCCCTCTTCCCTCTATACATATACATACATACGTATATCACACTTGTGTAGAGTAACGCTGTAAGCACTATTTATGAGGCTGAGAGATTGCACAAGTGTACATTTGTGCTTATATAAATAACTTAGTAAGCATGTTAATCCGTGTGCTGAATATATTTGCAGATTTGCTGAGGTTAAAATTGGATTGAAATTGGTTTAGCCTTTGGTGTTTTGGGCTTGACAAATATTAGTTATTAAACTTTTGCTAAAATAACTGCATGTTACTAACCTAAAAGTTGACAATAAATAATTTCATGTTGATGGTTTAAATGAGGAAATTCCTGTTTTGATTGACTTTTGTGAAAAAAATGGTTTTTACAATACAAAAAAAAAAAAAAAAAAAAAAAAAAAAAAAAAAAAAAAAAAAAAAAAAAAAAAAAAAAAAAAAAAAAAAAAAAAAAAAAAATTAACAAATATTGCGTAGTCGAAAAAGTGTTTTTATCGTATTTTGTCAATAGATGTTATTGCAGTCGTATATCTCCAGTACTACCAACCTTATTGTGTCATATTATATAATAGTGGAAAAATGGTATTCTAAGCTTCATTCAACCACCAAAAAATTAAATTCGGGTAAGTTACAGAAGGTTATGTTCAAAAATTAGGAAAATAGGGAAGAATGCCACGCAAGCCACCAATGAAACTTGTGAAGTTTACGGAGACGATGCTGTATTAGTTCTTGTAGCACAACAATGGTTTGCTCGCTTCCGTTCTAGAAATTACGATGTGCAAGATGCACCTCGCTCTGGTCTCTGGTCGACCTCTCGTTAAAAAAGTCGATGAAATTATGACAAAGATCTACCAGAGCCATTCAATGTGCAGCCATGGCATCGCTAAAAAACTTAACATTCATCATCAAATGGTTTTGAAGCATTTAAAAAAGTCTGGCTACAAAATGAAGCTAGATGTTTGGTTACCACATGAATTGTTTGTGAAACATTTAATGAACCGAATAGCTGCGATTCTTTGCTAAAACGAAATGAAATCTAACCATTTCTGAAACGAACAGCAGATCAAATACGACAATAATGTGTAAAAAAAACAAAAAACATGGTCCAAGCGTGGTGAAACTCAACAAATGGTCGCATAGCCAAGATTAATGCCACAAAAGGTTATCCTGAGTGTTTGGTGGGATTGGAAAGAAATCTAATACTATGAGCTGACCCAGCCTAGTCGAACGGTTGATTCTGCATTTTACTGTCAACAACTGATGAGATTGAAGCAAGCAATCGAAAACAACGGCCACAACTGGTCAACAGAAAGGGCTTTGTCTTCCATCAGGACAACGCTAGACCGCACACCTTTTTGATGGCTCGGCAAAAACTGCGAGAGCTTGGCTGGGAAGTTTTGATGTATCCACCATATAGCCCTGCCCTTGCACTATCGGACCACCATTTGCTTCGGTTATCAGAACTCTCTTAATGGAGTAAAGTTGGCTTCAAAGGAAGCCTGTGAAAATTACATGTCGCGGTTTTTCGACGAGAAACCAGAAAAATTTTACACTGATGGAATAATGTCTCTAGCGGGAAAGAGGCAAAAAGTGGTCGACCAAAATGGTAAATATTTATTTCATTAAAGTTCATTATAAATATAAAAAAAAAAAAATTGTAATTGATTAATGCGAAACTAGTTTTTCGGCTACCTAATATATCATTTGTAGGATCTCCAAAGTTTTCTTGTGGGTTCAAAAAACGCCATGGCAAACGAATTAAAGCTGTCTTCGATACAAAGATAAATATTAATGACAATCAGTAACTATTTATGTCCCCATATAGATCATCCTAAATGTAGGCAACATTTGCCATTTTCTTGAAGAACAAGCATGAAATTGTGAGTTGAAAGTTTGCTTTAAAATAAGTTGTCTATGAAAAATTTAATATTTTTAAAACAAAATATGTATGGTTAATCATCAAGTTCTTGAAGTAAGTGGTATGTACAGATACGGGACAGTAGAAGTCATATTTAGTGTTTTATAAAGTGAAAGCCTTACCCTAACAACTCTATGAACATTTAACTCCGTGTTATATTCATAATTTTGTAAAAAAAATTTATCAAAATAAAGGTCCCCGTAACGAGGCTGGATTAGCATGAATATTAGTGAAATATAATTTTAAATTTACCAAACATTTTAGCTTCAAATCAAAAAGAATTTTAAGAAAATTCTCCAAAAAAGTTATCTAAATAACAATTTACGCTGCCAAGTTATTTAAAAACATTTACTATAATTCTGGAAAAAATTATATTCCTTATTTCAGTTAAATAAATCTTGTCAAATCGTTTAGTTTTTGGCAGCAACGCGCAAGCAAATGTTTTTATTTATTTGTTCATCTGTTCATCTGCTCAATGTGCGGTCACACACCCATATAAGTATAACTAACTCCAACATGCAGCAGCGTGGTTTATCTAACATTGTTGTTCTTTTCTAAACGCTGAACACATTTCAATTGCAACAAAATGGCATAACGGCAACGGATGCAAGGTTATGAGTACATATATATATATATAGACGTACATAAATATTAAATATATGTGCAACGTTGCCAGCTTACCTGTCTTTATCTGATGATTTATAGCCGGAACTACCTGTAAGCAGAAATAAAATAGTTAGCAAAAAATGTGAGAAAAACTATTGAAAATATTAAAACGCAGCATCGAAAGAGAGCAAAGCAAGTGAGAGAAAAGGAATATGTAAACATGTATTTTATTACGGATATTTGCATACAAAGTCCAAGTGTTAGGTTAAGGGGGAAAGTACTTTTTATATATGTAAGTATGTATATTAGGGAACCTATTAAATGAAAATACTAAGTTCATAGTAAGTAATACTCGTCTCGTTTTAGTCAATATCGATTCATTTTCGGTAAAAAGTCAAGTATAGGTTCTGGGGATATTTTCGGTAAAATGTCATGTTCTGGAGTCCACTTATTCGGTTTGGTTTCACTTATACAATTTTTAGTCATAAGATGGTATACAGCAAAGGCATTATTCGAGCAAAGTTTTATTTCGTAATATTGATTGCTTCATTATTTTACCCTGAACAGGGTATATTAGGTTTGTCACGAAGTTTGTAACAGCCAGAAGGAAGTCTCGGAGACCCTACAAAGTATATGTATATATAAAAGATCAGTACGTTGATTTGAGTTGATTTAGCTATGTCCGTCTGTCTATCCGTCCGACTATCTGTCTGTCCGTCTGCCTGTATATATACGAACTAGTCACTCAGTTTTAAAGATATCGTTTTGAAATTTTGCAAACGTCATATTCTCTTCAAGAAGCTGCTCATTTGTCGGAACTGCCGATATCGGACCACTATAACATGTAGCTGCCATACAAACTGAGTGATCGGAATAAAATGTTGGTATGGTAAACTTATGCATTTGATAAGATATATTCACGAAATTTGGAATAAATTATTTTCTAAAGCGCCAATGTAATCTCCGCAGAAATTGTTCAGATCGGTTAACTATAGCATATAGCTGCCATACAAAGTAAATGATCGGAATCAAATGCTTGCATGGGGAATTTCCTCATTTGACGATACATCTTCATGAAATTTGGTTTGACTTATTGTTCATAAAAATAATTTAATATAAAAAGATTTTTTTTTAGATTAGCACATAGCTGCCATACAAACCGAACGATCGGAATCAAGTGCTTTTATGGAAAACTTTCGCATTTGATGTGATATCTTCACGAAATTTGACATGGATTACGGTTTACGGTAACAATTTAATCTCCAAAAAAATTGTTCGAATGGGATTACTATAGCATATAGCTTCCTTATAAACTGAACACATAGTCACTAAAAGAACGCCACCTGTGAAGGGTATATTCGGTGCAGCCGAAGTTAATATTTTTTCTTGTTTGTATAGCGCATAGTGAAAGAATCACAAGGAATTTAAAATTGTGTTATGGTGGTTGTAGTCCGATTTCGAACATCTTCGCACTGAGACATGAAAATGGGAAAAGAATATCATGTACAAAATTTTGTCGAAATGGATCGGTCGGGACCCGAGTTCTTATGGCTCGTTGTTAAGGCAGGTAGTTCTATGTAATGTAACGAGCTTCAATTTATATGCAATGGTCTCCACCTCAATATAGCGATATTAAATAATTAAAGAATGTTTCATGTTATTAAAAAAAAAAATAAGATTTTAGTACTGTGATCAAATTGAAAGGTGAATTTTGTCCATTTCATCTCCTTCAAAGTAATCCCCTCACGCTGCAATACACTTATGTCAACGAATTTTCCAGTCATCATAGCCAATTGGAAAAATTCTCCGTCTTGATGGCCATCAGAGCCTTCTTCGATTCAGCTTTTATATCCGCAATTGAGTCAAAACGGTGTCCTCTGAGTGGTCGTCATGTGAGTGCTGACTAGCCAGAAGTTACACGAAGGTAAATCTGCCGAATGCGGTGGTTGTGGCACGATATCAGTTGAAAATGTGACACTTATTTGCTCAGTAAATTCAGACATTCTAAAAATAATAATTATCTTTTTTATATATGCGAATAGTCCCACAGTTCTTTAGATTTTAGAGGCTGCTTATTTATCGAAAACGCCGATATTGGACCACAATAGCACATATGTAGTTACCATACAAACCAAGCGCTTGGAAAACTTTTTTATTTCACGCGATAACTTCATAGTATGGAAGTATTTACAAAAAAACAAAAATGAAAAATATTGGGAAAATTGGTATACCACTTATTTTATTATTTTTGAGGACCATCCTAATATTCAGATTTAATACTTTTATCGTAGGAAAAATTACTTTTCGAAAAAACTTGTAAAAATTAGTTATTATCTGTCGTTGACTTACTCACACTCGTATGTGTGCAATTGTAAGGTACATATGCATATGTGTATGTGAGTATATATATAGCGGTGGTTTTGCGTTAGCTTATCCCTGATGATAGATTAGTGTAGCGCAGTCAGCTATGTTGGAAAAATTTTGAGCATCACAGCTGATGCTTCTTTCTTACATACATGCATGTACTTAAATACATATATGCTTACATACATACATATATGCCTATATACAGTAATTCTTATATATGTACATATATACTTGTGCTACCAGAACAAATACTACGAAATGGAATTTGTGCGGAGGCATACCCGAGTAACAGCAGACTTTGACACATGTTTCAACAGCTGAGTTTTGAGTTGTGGCATTGCACGGAAAACTATTTCCTGAATTAAGCATGTTATTGTACACAGTTTTTGGTGGATAAATTAAATTCGACAAGCGCAGTAGTCAATGACGTAGGCATGAAATACAATGGTTCTGTATCTATGTACTCACATACATACATATATGTATACCCATGAACTTGTAGCTATTTTCACGGATATTATTTGTAGCTTTGAAAGTTTGGAGGCTTTTGTGGAAACGCCATTGCGCTAATTGACAGGTTGATTGACAGTTAAGGAATTAGTGTTGCCACCTTGATCGATATGGTACACAGGGGACTCCAAATTCTAGATTTGCAGCCGTTTTAAGCGCATAGAACAACTTAAGCTGCTTTCACTTTTAATAATACAAAATCGTATACAATAGCGATTAGTTTGGAATGAGCTATTTACATATCTTATTTTATTTACGTATCTTAAAAAAAAAAAAAAAAAAAAAAAAAAAAAAAAAAAAAAAAAAAAAAAAAAAAAAAAAAAAAAAAAAAAAAAAAAAAAAAAACACTCTTAAATTCGAAAAAAAATTTTTTTTTTAAGTTTAAGATTTAATCAAAGGATAGTCTTTGCAAACTTGGTTGAAACGGTTCTCTATACAAATGTCTTCAGTGTTGCGATAAGTGCTCAGGGCTTGAAGAAGAACGCTTACATTTCATCAAGTTTGAATTCCAATTTGAATTTTTTCTGACGTTAAAGACGATCAATGTTTCTTAGATTATAATTTTTTGGTGTTATTGGATTTAAACTAACGCCCACACCGATTTCATTCATATTTAGTGATAAACCATATAATTTTTAAAATTAAAAAATAGTTTGAAGTCAACTGGAAGAATGGAAGTGAGATTCTCAGGTAGATGAGGGTTAATATTTGGATCCAATTTTACACATATTGACATGTTTCAAATACTTTATTTCCACGAAAAGCCTCTTTTTGAATATAATTAATGTACCTCATGACATATTCAAGAAAAAATCAGCCACAGGTACTGAGATCCAGGTATTCGGTATAAAGAGGCTTGAAAAGTTTATGGCCTAAATTCAAATATGACTGACTTAACTTTAGTACTGTGTGCGATGTGTAAACTAAAGTTATTACCGGACGTGACCACGCCCACTTAAACTTTTTAAATTGTCTATGCTACTCCATACTGTATGATCACTCCCAAATTAGAGTTGACTATCTTAACTTGTGACTTACAGCTTCTTATAGTTTTTTGCTTAATATCCATGGCGTGGCTATGGTCTAATTCTGCCCATCTGCAATACTAACCTCTGTTTAGTGCCAAGAAACTATACGTAGTGTTACATCAAGATATCTTGACTCAAGCTATTGCTTGCCCAAAAAGACGGAGTACGGACCACGTGAATAACCCAAAATTCTACTCCGTCAACGAAAATTGAACATTTTCGGGAAAGCTGACAATTGAAAAATATGAAAAGAGTGTATTGAATAAATATTTTATTGAAGTTTGGGTGCATGAAAACTTTGTCTAAAGTGAGTGACATGCGAGCTCAGAATTACGCTTTTAATAGCAGTTTATTTGGAAGCAAAACACTAATTGTTCTAAAAAAGGGTACACAAAAGTTTTAGAACCATTTTAACCACGGAATAACCTTCGATTTTAAATAAGGAAATTTTACGATATTTTCAGGCAAATAGCAAAATTCTCTGGAATAGAAATTGAAACATGAGGTACTCAAATTTCTATTAACAATTCATAAGCTACGCGCGATTTGTTCGAACTTTGCTTTTAAAGTCCACAATTTAATTTCATTATATAAAGTTGTAAATCAAATAAACACTTCCAATAGTTTGTGGCAGCTTGTCATTGCAACGAGGTCAATGACCGCAAAATGCCGCCACGCCAACAGCTGCCATGGTCGTCTTGGCGTGCGCGATAAGAGCAACGGCAATTGACGCAGTGACTGGACGTTACAACGCACTAAAATGGCGATGATAGGAGTACCGACGACGACAACGGCTACAACGATAAGCGGAAACGGAAATGGCGAATGACGGTATGGCGAATGGCTGCAGCATAGCCGCAAGCGAAAGCGGATACGCTCTGACGACGCAAACAAAACAATACGAAGCAGCTGAACGGAGGTGACATAAGGAAGTGCAACGACAACAACAACAATTAAAATTTTTTAAAGAGCCTGCCTGTTATAATGACGACTACAAAGGCACCATAAGCGCAATGGCACCATTGGCACCGCAACAAATGGTGGACAGCGAATGACCGAACGCTGGGCGTAAGCGCAAATTTTCGCTCTTTTCTTTGTTAACGGCGCGGCGCATAATTTCCCTTTACTAGCTGCGGGCAATTTTCTTTTTATTTAATGTGACTGAAGAGGTATTAATGAAAATTTTATGGCACAATGCATTGTT